CCACTAGTAATCCTACCACATCCTTAAGCCTTGATTTCCTTACATCCATTCTCTACCTACACAAAATACATTTGTCCACATACACCCAAATGTATTTTGGATGTGACCAGGAACAGAGTAAGCATCTCCAACCTGGATTTCTTTATTTAGCAGTTGGTAGTTTCAGATGTTCAAAAACAGGCTGTGAAGGCCAGAGGTATGTAGCAGAAAGGTATCATGAGAGAAATGATTTCCAGTGAATAAATGGAATAGCTCATTGTGAGCAGGATTTTCAGATCATGAATGAACAGGGATATATGGTGCCTTCTGTGCATTTACTGGTGTAAATGAGATCTGAATCAGCCTTTAGAGCTTATAAATTTCTCCATTTTTAATTAAAACAGCAAGAAACACCATTTGTCAGCTTTCATGTCCATGACATGATCTACTGGCTAAGTTGTTGCTTGACAATTTGGACATTGTATACTAAAGGCAACAGTTTGCATTCACACTGTATGATTAATGTAACACAATTCTTGCTAATCATGGAAACTGTATACCTTAATATATTAACTTCCTAGTCCTACACTCACTTCTATCCATTCCAAGAACAAAACTCCTGTTGAATTCATCTTCCAGATCTCAGTTGCTCTGCAAAGTAAAGACACGAATTTTATTTACACTTTCCTATTACTTGAGGAATTAAACCAACATTCTTCCCAGCCTGTTTTGAACTCAATAGCCACATATATGGGGCACATGAAAATAGCAGACCTTTTGAAATGTGAAAACATGCGGTTTCGCCCAAGGCTATAAAAATCAGTGGGAAGGCCAAGATCAGAACTAAGAAAATTTTTGCTCACAGCCACAGACTCAAGTTTCTGCAAAATGCTGTCTACTGAGAAACGTGCTCAGAGCATCCTTAGGTTGATATTGCTTGTTACTGTGTGTAGAATTGCTTTGAGACGGATTTTCCTCCTTGTAATGTGAGGTATAAAGAAACACTTCTTGAGATGATTTTTAATGGGCACATCATTAACTACTGTCACAATAAAAGGTACTTCATGTTTAGTAGACGTACAATTCCACCCTTGATTCAGTCCATGATTTCTTCCTCCGAAGAGGCCTATTTTTAATTAACATATTTGCAAATGTCAGCACTGCTACAGTAGGTACATGTTTCTGCTTGTGTCTGCCTCACATCTTTACACTGTGTGCAAGACTAACCTAGCATCCTTGATGTGTAGCTAATTATTTTGCATCAACTTACAGGTGAATCTAACGCACTCTCCTGTATTTTTTTTTTTAGCACCACAGGGCCAGTGCTGCCCACTGTGATTCAGTGTTACCTGATGGTCCTCACTGGGAGGAAAACATCCTTAATTTATGGAACAAAGCCAGAAAAATTTGGAAAGATTTGCATGATTGAAGGGGAGTGGTTATTTTTTTTATTATTATTAAACTTTAACCATTTTACTTTGTTAATATCTTGCTGTCTTGCCAAATGCCAGCATCTACTTCACTTCCTACCTCTGGGTGGGGTCAGTCCTGTCAATCAGATGATCAACAGACTACCACAGGCACTCAGCTATCTCTGCAAATCACAACCTGTCCACTCTAATCCTCAGGCCAATTCAGCAGCTCTACAACTGCACATATATCAGAGCCTAAGCCCATCCATATGGAATTCTTCTGATTACTGCTCACTCTTATTAAATCACACAAAAATGACATGCTGGAAAAAAAAATATGGGGTTTGTTTCCACATGAAGTTATTTCCTGTTAATTCTTTCATATGTCCTTTGCCTAACAATTTTCATGAAAATGAAATATAGTCTTAAACCTGTGGAAAACCCTATGTATTACCCAAGGTGTATTATCCAAGGGGAATTATACAGCAATGGTGTTCAGCCAGCTTTACTCCAAAGGTCTCCTCTGGATCCCAGTGAAGAAGCCTGAAAACGTACCCTGCCCTCCTCACCTATCAGAGTCAAAAGGAACAACCACCAATACTTAAGGCTACTTAACAGTGGTATCCAAACTTTTCATTGTGTTAATGAGACAAGGAAGAACAGGTACAAGTAAGGTACAGCATCATCCAACTTACATTCAAGCAATATTTACTACACTCTTACTATCTGCACCCACCTGCCAACAATTCAGAAAAAAGTAAAGCTACAGTCAATTACAAATACTTTCATGTAAAGTGGTTTATTACATTTGTTTTCAATTTTCTACCTTTTGCCACATCTAACTGAAAAAAGAAGTTCTGAATTATAAAACCGTAGAAGTATACTGGAGCTTTAAGCTTTTGTGATTGCACATCATGTGTAGAAATCTATTTCAGCCCATTCAGACACTTTAAGAAAGTTTCAGAAAAAAAGAGCAAGCTCAGAAATCTCTGATGATAACCTAACCTTTTCTCATATTGCCCTTTGTTTCCAATGTTTCAAGACTGGATTAACCACAGTAGTACAGGTGTGTATATTCAGTCTGCGAATTCACTGAGTTCAGTTCAAGCTGATTACGTTAAATACACTCCACGAGGATTATATCTTCTACCTGCACCTTCCTGTGCTCAGTGAGACTCTTCTATGCTGAAGTATAAGAAGCACAAGATGGGGTGGAACCTGCCTTTTTAATTATCTTGTACAAAAGTAGCCCCCACAACGGAGTTGAGCAGCTCAACATCTCTTATTTCAGAGCACCTCATTATCTATGGAAGATCACGAACTGAAGAAAAAGGTATGCTGAGCATGCTATTGATTACAGCTATATTTGCCATGATTCAATAAGTTGAAATTTCACATACCAAATATTAAATTACTGAAATTATGCACTGGCTCATCTGCATCCATTTTTTTATTCACTTTTATTTGGCTGAACATTTTAATCTTACTTACACAGTGACTAACTAAAAGTAAATGACGCATTCCTAATATTATAAATATGAAAAATAGGGTGTGCTCAGGGACTGCAGTTGAATACATTAAACTCACTCAGTTTGCTAGTTAACATATTTCCATCCCTTTTATGTACAACCTTTCACATTCAGTTGGCAGACTGCAAATTCATGGCCTTATAAAAAAACACTGCCTTGATTTTCTGTTGTGACAGCAGAAATTGTCCAAAATCTCTAACAGTTTCCCTAAAGGACGCTCACTGGCTGGTACTTCCCAGGTGCAGCACAATCTGAATCTGAGGTGAACATCATGTCAAATTCCACTCATCTGTCAATGTAGTGGATTATTTCTTGAGAGACTGAAATTGGCTGCCTGGGATCAGAACACCATCAATCTTACTCATGGAGGGTGCGGAGAAGCTGCCTGAGAAAGGCTCGCAAGAGGGAAAGCTTGGCTGTTTCTAAGTAGGTGATGAGGCAGCTGTAAAACCTTCACTCTATCTGTATCGCATCTCTGAGTGAAAGATTTTTTGTCATTTTTCACATTTCCCCAACACTTGGTATGCATTCAGTGTCTTGCTGTTCTTGCTTCGTAAAAAAGGTGATTTTTCAAGCTTAGGCAAATGTTGCAGAGCTCCAAATCTGCCCAGCTCTCATTTTTTCTCATCATGTCACTTGTTTCGACTGATTTTACAAAACGAGATTACATTTTCCTTTTACCTATCTGTTTAGCTGGGCTGTTCCCCCCCGCCATTTCCTTTACTGGCAATTGACTTTAGACTCAAATAACCGGCAACATTACTTACAAGTGCATTTTAATAAGTATTTTGTCCATTTCTCTGCAAGTTCCAAATAAGCACCTTGCCACTCAAACTTCAAATGCTCTCAAACTCCAGTGCCAGCTAGTAAAGATAATGCCATTAGTTAATCTGATGCTCAAGCATAGCTACTGAGAGCTTGCCTATCAAAGATTCCCATTTCCTTTATACAATGTATATTTTATTTACAGGAAAGCAAGACAATGCCAATCCCTAGGACTGTTGGACACCAAAAGTAGCTGGGAAAACTTTGAGTCATTAAGGTTGCTAAAGACTTGTGGTTCAAGACTGTTCATCTTTAATGTTTTTTGACCTAATGGCGAACCTTCAAAGTATTACTTGCCACATTGTTAAATGATTCATCACTGCGAGTTAATATTTTGCATCTTTCATTTCTAAAGCTCTTAGGAACTCTTCCACCTTTCTTTGGATCCAAATTTGCTAAGCAACATTCTTGGCCCATCTAATTTTAACCAGATGATAATACCATGCTAGAATATGCCAACTCCTCAATTTTTTAAGTGGCACATATTCTTCAGAGCACAATTAACAGTTGAAAAAGTTACGTGATCCATTTCTATTAATAAAAACTCAATAAAACTACTAACGTGCAGTCTTTGTGAATGACAACAGTCAAAGTGAGCTGCACTTTCCACTGCTAACCTGTAGGATTTACTTTGACTTTACAGGCATTGAACTCCATCAAAAGACAGTCCCAAGTTCTCCTCCAGGCTGCACTTTTGCAACCCCATCAGTTTCAGAAGTAAATCAGTTTTCAGAGAGCCTTACAATAACTGTGTGTCTCATTTATGCTAAGACAAACACCTGATCTCCAGTAAATGCTAGTGACAATGAGTGAAATTTGGCCCCAGTAATTTAAGTAGCAAACCCATGTCCAGTTTGGGCCAGATAACTGCAAAGTTGCCCAATCCTGTGCTGTCACAATGTCTTTCCGAGTAACAGACCTGCTCCTGAACTGCACAAAATGGGGAGAAGGGGAGATAGAAATAAAGACAAAGAAAGAGACAGAGAAACTGAACAGTTATCCAAAATGGGATTCCTGTGTTGGGAAGTTGTTAGAAGACAACGTTAAAGGGTGACTATTCCAACATCAGATTGGCAAAGCACAACACACATTAGACCAATCCAAAAAAGATGCTGTGCAATATAAAGGCAAGCAACTCATAAAAGTTAATTGATAAAATGTTTTTTATGATTATTCAATCAATTATCAAGACAGACATAAGCACGGGCAGAAAGCCTGCAATCTTATGGCAGCCCACAGCTGATCTCAGTCCTACCTGGTCTGTGCAGGTGATGCTGCTGGAAAGTGTGATGGAGGGACCCCTGACAGAGCAGCATTGCACAGGCACTTATCCACAAATACAGGACCCAGGACATTGCAGAGACCACTGCCATTCTCTAAACAAAATATTAGACAGACATTATTATCCATTGCCTTACAGCACACAGAATAGTCAGCTTCCATTACAACAGCATTTAACTTTTTTTTATTATTTTTTACTCCTTCTGCTAAATGTCTTTTGTCTCTGTGTTATTATTCCCCCCCTGCAGGATGCAATTGTCATACAACAAAGGTCATGGCCAAAAAGGACAGTTGAGGTAAAGAGAGATCAAAGCAGGACCCTGGATAACTTTAATAATTCAGTGGTAAAAATGAAACTGTAATGATCCGAGGACCAAAAAGAAAAAACCCAATGTAAATAGAAGGCTGGAAGATATTCTACACTGGTCCATAGCTGAGTTTACAAGGGGGTTAAAAAAATAAAAGTAAGAAAACCATACTGCCAGCTAAAAAACCATGATGTCCAGACAGTATCAAAACTACTTTAAACACATTACAGATAGGCATATGACATCCTCAGATATCTGACATGCCTTTCAAAAATACTCCGTGCCCAGGACTGGAAGGCTAACACTGACCCAGAAGGTAACAGTTTATTGTTTTTGACTTTGGCAGGCATTAATTTTTAATCACGATGCTGTCTGCTAAACAAAGTAATTGTTTCTCAGAATTATGTTGTAATCCCCAGGTGAAATCAGCTTCCTTTTGTTCGACCTGTGCACGTAAAGGGACTGGAGCACAGCCAGACTAAATTTTGTGTGTACTCTATAGAAGATTTCATCTTTTCACAAAGCAAATTGTGTCAAAATTTTAAACATTCTTACTGCAAAGGGAAAGAGCAACTTCTTTGTCTCCCAGCACTGGCATACTTGGCCATCTAATACAGACAACTGTGATTTTTTATGCTTATATTCATTACTGTAGTAACTGGCTAAATTTTCCTCTGACTTTTTAACTTCAGCAGCTCTTTCTCAATGCCTGCAAGGATAAGGAGGTTTGCAAGGCTCAGCTACGCTACACATCGTCCAGTTCCCTTAACAACACCTTCTGCTGCATTTCATATTGCCAAATTTATCAAACTTCAGGCACTCTCCTTATCCAGCCAATGACGTGATGCCGGTTTCTATCTAATAATCCAATCAGCTGAACATCATTTTCACAGAGCAAGAAAGACTTTGAAAGATTAAATCTCTCACATAGAAAAATCATGTCCTTAAAGAAAAATTATTAATAAAAAGAAGTCTGTGATATATCTGGGAGATTACTGCAGTAGGAAAATTAACACTATTAAAATAGTGAAATGCAGGCAGTGGTAATAAAATATATGCATATAAAATATGGTTTTGCTCCAGATTTTAAGGCAGCACAGTCTTTGGAAAGCTTTTTAAGTCTAATTGGTTGAAAAGAACCACATAAACTGACAAATATAATTAATAGAAAATACCAAAACATTATTTTTATTAATGTGAGGCTCTTCCTTTCTCTGTACTGAGCATTTGATGCACTGCTTAACATATAATTAATTTAATTTCCAACTGCTTAGTTTGCAGCATACAGTGTACTTTTTCTCTTCTCTTTTTAGACCTATTTATCTTGCAAAATAGATTCAATCCCCTCAGATCAGGGAGCTCCCAATAGGCTTCCCATGTCTTCAGGAATTAATGCCTTCTTGTCATATTTGGTGCTCCCATGCTTTTTATACAACAAGGTAAGAGGGAAAGGTGACTCTCGGAGATAGAAATAAAGACAGAGAAAGAGACAGAGAAACTGAACAGTTATCCAAAATGGGATTCCTGTGTTGGGAAGTTGTTAGAAGACAACGTTAAAGGGTGACTATTCCAACATCAGATTGGCAAAGCACAACACACATTAGACCAATCCAAAAAAGATGCTGTGCAATATAAAGGCAAGCAACTCATAAAAGTTAAATGATAAAATGTTTTTTATGATTATTCAATCAATTATCAAGACAGACATAAGCACGGGCAGAAAGCCTGCAATCTTATGGCAGCCCACAGCTGATCTCAGTCCTACCTGGTCTGTGCAGGTGATGCTGCTGGAAAGTGTGATGGAGGGACCCCTGACAGAGCAGCATTGCACAGGCACTTATCCACAAATACAGGACCCAGGACATTGCAGAGACCACTGCCATTCTCTAAACAAAATATTAGACAGACATTATTATCCATTGCCTTACAGCACACAGAATAGTCAGCTTCCATTACAACAGCATTTAACTTTTTTTTATTATTTTTTACTCCTTCTGCTAAATGTCTTTTGTCTCTGTGTTATTATTCCCCCCCTGCAGGATGCAATTGTCATACAACAAAGGTCATGGCCAAAAAGGACAGTTGAGGTAAAGAGAGATCAAAGCAGGACCCTGGATAACTTTAATAATTCAGTGGTAAAAATGAAACTGTAATGATCCGAGGACCAAAAAGAAAAAACCCAATGTAAATAGAAGGCTGGAAGATATTCTACACTGGTCCATAGCTGAGTTTACCGCAGGACCCTGGATAACTTTAATTCAGTGGTAAAAATGAAACTAATGATCCGAGGACCAAAAAGAAAAAAACCAATGTAAATAGAAGGCTGGAAAATATTCTACACTGGTCCATAGCTGAGTTTACAAGGGAGTTAAAAAAATAAAAGTAAGAAAACCATACTCCCAGCTAAAAAACCATGATGTCCAATTATTATTATCTTTTACTCCTTCTGCTAAATGTCTTTTGTCTCTGTGTTATTATTCCCCCCCTGCAGGATGCAATTGTCATACAACAAAGGTCATGGCCAAAAAGGACAGTTGAGGTAAAGAGAGATCAAAGCAGGACCCTGGATAACTTTAATAATTCAGTGGTAAAAATGAAACTGTAATGATCCGAGGACCAAAAAGAAAAAACCCAATGTAAATAGAAGGCTGGAAGATATTCTACACTGGTCCATAGCTGTACAAGGGAGTTAAAAAAATAAAAGTAAGAAAACCATACTGCCAGCTAAAAAACCATGATGTCCAGACAGTATCAAAACTACTTTAAAGACTTTACAGATAGGCATATGACATCCTCAGATATCTGACATGCCTTTCAAAAATACTCCGTGCCCAGGACTGGAAGGCTAACACTGACCCAGAAGGTAACAGTTTATTGTTTTTGACTTTGGCAGGCATTAATTTTTAATCACGATGCTGTCTGCTAAACAAAGTAATTGTTTCTCAGAATTATGTTGTAATCCCCAGGTGAAATCAGCTTCCTTTTGTTCGACCTGTGCACGTAAAGGGACTGGAGCACAGCCAGACTAAATTTTGTGTGTACTCTATAGAAGATTTCATCTTTTCACAAAGCAAATTGTGTCAAAATTTTAAACATTCTTACTGCAAAGGGAAAGAGCAACTTCTTTGTCTCCCAGCACTGGCATACTTGGCCATCTAATACAGACAACTGTGATTTTTCATGCTTATATTCATTCCTGTAGTAACTGGCTAAATTTCCCTCTGACTTTTTAACTTCAGCAGCTCTCTTTCTCAATGCCTGCAAGGATAAGGAGGTATGCTTATATTCATTACTGTAGTAACTGGCTAAATTTTCCTCTGACTTTTTAACTTCAGCAGCTCTTTCTCAATGCCTGCAAGGATAAGGAGGTTTGCAAGGCTCAGCTACGCTACACATCGTCCAGTTCCCTTAACAACACCTTCTGCTGCATTTCATATTGCCAAATTTATCAAACTTCAGGCACTCTCCTTATCCAGCCAATGACGTGATGCCGGTTTCTATCTAATAATCCAATCAGCTGAACATCATTTTCACAGAGCAAGAAAGACTTTGAAAGATTAAATCTCTCACATAGAAAAATCATGTCCTTAAAGAAAAATTATTAATAAAAAGAAGTCTGTGATATATCTGGGAGATTACTGCAGTAGGAAAATTAACACTATTAAAATAGTGAAATGCAGGCAGTGGTAATAAAATATATGCATATAAAATATGGTTTTGCTCCAGATTTTAAGGCAGCACAGTCTTTGGAAAGCTTTTTAAGTCTAATTGGTTGAAAAGAACCACATAAACTGACAAATATAATTAATAGAAAATACCAAAACATTATTTTTATTAATGTGAGGCTCTTCCTTTCTCTGTACTGAGCATTTGATGCACTGCTTAACATATAATTAATTTAATTTCCAACTGCTTAGTTTGCAGCATACAGTGTACTTTTTCTCTTCTCTTTTTAGACCTATTTATCTTGCAAAATAGATTCAATCCCCTCAGATCAGGGAGCTCCCAATAGGCTTCCCATGTCTTCAGGAATTAATGCCTTCTTGTCATATTTGGTGCTCCCATGCTTTTTATACAACAATGTAAGAGGGAAAGGTGACTCTCACGCAGGGATATTTCAGGTATTTGGGTTATTTAAACCAAACTTCAAAAACCCTAGCCAGACAGCCAAGCAAAGCCAAACTTCTACAGCCTGCTTAACGCTCCTGTGTCTTTCCTTGGGCATCATATTCTTAACCACATGGACAGCAGACTCAGTTAACCCACTCAGGCTTTATTATTAGCTCTCTGCTCCCCCCCTTCCCTTTTTTTTTAAAAAAAATAAAAATCTCTCTCAGACTATGCTATTTCAAACTACCTTTGCTCAAAACACAGCATTTCTCACAAACATTTCTTCATGCACTTGTCAGCAAACTGCTGCCACACACACACTTTTACACACAGACCATCTTATCGTTAGCAAAAAACCACACAGACCATCTTATCGTTAGCAAAAAAACACAGCAGTGAGTATTCCTCCAGTCATTATCTGATGAGTTCCAGATCTGCTTTCTGAATCTTAAATCCTAAAGAAGCTCCTTACCTGAGTAATCCAACCAAGAGCAGAGCACTCTATTAGTGTTCATTGGAAAGATCTAACACTTTTTTAAATCCATCTGTATCACAATAAGGGATTTTTAATAGCTTCCCAATAATCTTCTTTATCAGGATTAAAAGAAAAAAAAAATAAAAAATCTCTTTCGTTACAAATCCTGTTCCCAGAGTAAAGAAGACATCTGAGCTCT